CATCAGATACACATTGAGAAAAGGAAGGAAATAAGCATTTCTCAATTCCCCTTTATCTCTTTAAGGCCCACTGGAGCCTTCCAAAAAATGACTTAGTGTTTTGGGGGCCAAACCCATTTCTACTTGTTTCCAGATTCTTGGATAATTATATATATATTATATTAATTGGATAATTATAGATAGATTTGAAAATATGATAAATAAATGTCTGTTAGAATTTACCAGTTTTCCGTTTGTGACATGGATGCTTTGTGACTGGCTATGACAGTCATGTTTTATTTATTTCTTTACTAGACTCACATCTTGCCACACAACCATTTTTGACTTAGCTATCCTAAAGTTGCCTACTATGCAGATTAAATGCTTTGCTTGGGATTGCAACTTCTATGTTCTCTTGCCGGATGGTTTTGAAGTATACAGGTTCTTGTGTATAATGTAGTTCTCTTGCATCTGACTGATACTCTGCGAAATTGTGGGTGTATGTTTCTATTAAAAGTGAAAATGATAATTCCACACCCTACAGATGCCTTCTTTTTGGAAAAAGCCCTGGAACTTGCTAAGCGACATGCTAATGCCCTTTTTGACTATGCAGTCACAGGAGATGTGAAGATGCTTCTGGCAGTACAGCGCCACCTTACAACTGTTCAGGATGAAAATGGTGACAAGTAAGTATGTGCATCTTTAAATCAAATTTGTATAACATGATGGGATGGGACTTTTGTACATGATGGGAAAAACCTAACCCTAATTTCCCAAATTCTGTCAGTGTTTTTCCATTTAAAATTTTTAATAGAAAAATTGCTTTCTCAAAGATGTCCACAGCTAGCCACAATGATGTCCAAATGAAAAAGACATGTGTTGCAATATCACAATGCCAGTTCTACTCTTTCATAGTCGTGTTGCAACCTATCATGCAAGTCTCAGTGAAATCAATGACATTTACTTTCAGGCCGGGATACACAGAACTACATCGTAAAGACACAGAGTATGTGGTCCTCTGCAGAAGATGAAAAAAGAGGGTTGAGTGATGAAATGTGCATCACAACATCATAATGCATATACTGACCCTTACAGAATTTATCTTCTGCAGACGTTCTTGGCTCATTGCCTTTAAGATACAGTGCTATGTATACTTGCCTGCAATAAATTTCCTTAAATTCATTGATACTTGTTTCCAGGTAAACCTGTTTAACTTTTGAAATATCATTCTCACTATTTTACTTTTTCTCAAGTAATAAATGTCATATTCTACTCCTGAGATGACACAGAAAGGGAAATAATGGTCCAAAATGAGGCTACATTCCAATGATTCATTGTAGGTGCTTCTCATTTAGAGAGAAAGAAGCAAAATTGTTTGACTCATCTCTGTATGTAACATTTCAAAAACAGGATGAGAGGGTTTTTTTCCTCTTTAACTTTGATCCCTTTTGCCTTTTAGATCAGAGAGAATTCATTCATCCCTATATTTTGCCAGAATGCTTTAAAGCTTGGGGTTTTTGCAGTTACATCCCTTGCAGTTGATTCAAATCAATTACTCTCCCAAAATGCACTGAAGAATTTCCATTTGGAAAAAAAGAGGATAATGGAAACACCCTGTCCAGGAATGATGGGAGTTGTAGTCTTACATATCTGGAGGGTTATCTGATTGGAGAATACTACCATTCCTCCCATTCCAGACATCAGCCTTGAGATTTAATCTTGCCATTTCCCTCCAACAAATAATGAAGAACAGGAAGCTTCTCAACTTTGAAGCTACAGAAATTGGCAGGATCATATATTATCAGCTCTTTGACAATACTTCTCCAACACTTAGATCTGGGAAGATCTCGCCCTGTTTTTGAAATGTTACATATAGAGATGAGTCAAACAATTTTGCTTCTTCTTCTCTAAATGAGAAGCACTTACAATGAAGCCTGGGAAGGCTGATAAATCCACAAAAGGCTAAACCAGAAACCCGTTGTCTTTTTCTGTTTAAAAAAAATGAAGGATTGAAAGAAGATCTTTGGTTCTGGCCAGCGGTGATAATGTTGCTGCAAAGAATTAGCTCAAATCAACATGATTCCTACATCTCTAATGCAAGAGAATGAGAAGAGAACATTTATTTAAACTGTTGCCCATTATTGAGCATCAGCTGAAAACAGCCCTGGATTAACCATTAAGCAAAATAAGCACATGCTTAGAGCATCAAGGGAAGGGGGACACTGCAGAGATTTTCCCCCAGCTATCATGCCCTTAACTTTTTCACTGTCAGACTTTAGTTTTCAGCACTTATTGAGTCTTAATGTCTTGTCAGTTAAGCAGCGGAAGAGCCAAGGGGCACCATTGTTGGGTTGTATTTAGGTCATTGGTTGGCCTTAATCCAGCCCTGCCTGAAACCTGTATGTTTACCTTCTCTCTTTTCTGCAGAAAAGAAAACACAAGTAAGCTCAGATTCATTTGTCTATCATAGACTGAATCAGGAATCCTTCTTGGATTCTGTTATGTATGTATTAAATATGAAAAGAAAGAGGATAGCAGTCCTGGCTCAAATATTATTCATAACTTATATTTTGCATGTAAAAATCTCAGATTCTATCCCTGACAACTGTTGAGGATAAGAACTTAAGCAGTGCCCTGCTGGATTGGGCTCCTAGTCTATCTAGTCCAGCAATCTCTTTTCACAATGGCCAGCCAACTGGAAACAAGGAAGCCCACTGGTCTGCCAACAGTGGCCTTCAGAGGCAGTCTCACCACCATCAGGGCTAATAACCATTGATCCCCATGACTTCCAAGAATTGGTCCAACCCTTTTTTGAAGCTAGTACCGCATCTTGTGGTAGCAAATTCCAAAGTTTAATTACATGTTGTGCAAAAAATGTTTCCTGATTCTTGCAGGGTTCCATTTCATTGACCATTGGTTCTAGTATTTAGGAAGGGGGAAATAGTTTGTCCTTGTCCACTTCATCGACACTATGCATAATTGTGTACACCTCAATTATGGCTCCTCTCATTCACCTCCTTTCTATACTAAAAAGCCCCAAATGTTGCAACCTTTCTTCATGGGGAAGCTGCTTCAGCCCCTGAACATCTTAGTTGCCCTCCTCTGAATCTTCTCTAGCTCCACTATATCCTTTTTGAGGTGTGGAGACCAGAACTGCACACAATATTCCCAATGCAGTTGCACCAATGATTTATGTAAGACCATTATGATACTGGCATCTCTATTTTCAATACCATTTCTTATTATCTCTAACATATTGTTGGCCTTTTTTACAGTGGATGCACATTGTGTCAACAACTTCATTGAACTGTTTACCATTATTCCAAGATCTCTTTCCTCATCAGTCAATGCTAGCTCTGATCCCTTTAGTTTATGTCAGTAGTTAGGACTTTTGGCACCAATGGGCATCACTTTTACTTGCTCACATTGAATGACATCTGCCATATGGATGCTCACTCCCCCAATGTGCAGAGATCCCTTTGGAGCTCTTCACAGTCCAATATTATTTCTACCACTCTGAACAATTTGGTGTCATCTGCAAACTTGGTTATTCTGCTAGTCATGCCTGATTTCAGATGGTTTATAAATACATTAAAAAGTACCAGTCCTAGGACAGAACCCTGGGGGACCCATTAGTTACTACCCTCCATTCTGAGAAATGTTCATTAACTCCTACTCTTTGTTTTCTATTCTTTACCCAGTTGTTTATCCACAGGAAGACCTGCCCTTTTATTCCATGGCTGTTAAGCTTTCTAAGAAGTCTTTGATGAGGGACTTTTTCAAAGTTTTTTTTAAAACCTAAATAGATGGTGTCAACTAGCTGATCCTTATCCACATGTTTATTAAAATGCTCAAAAAACTCTAACAGATTATTTAGACAGGACCTTCCCTTAGTGAAGCCATGTTGGATATCATTGAACAAGGCCTATGTGTCCAAATGTTTGGTAATTTTATCTTTAACAGCAGTTTCCACTATCTTCCCCAGAACAGATGTTAAGCTGACAGGCCTATAATTTCCTGGATCTCCCCACGAACCCTTCTTAAAAATTGGAGTTACATTGGCCACCTTCCAATCCTCAACCACAGAGGCCAAGTATAGAAAAAGGTGGCATATTTTAGTTAGAAGGTCCACAATCTCAGCTTTAAGCTCCTTAATAGTCCCTTGGGTGGATACTATCCGGGCCTAGTGGTTTCTTGAAGTTCAAATATAAAAGAGCTAGGGAGGATTCTGTGCCTGAGAAAATATTTGGCAGTATTCTCAAGAAGCTCCTGGTTTACATACTCTGTTAACCCAATTCCTTGCTTTGTGTAAACTTCGTGGTCTTCATTTATTAGCCATTTTTAATACATGCTTGATCTTCCCTAGATCTTCTGAAATCCTATTTTGACTGCCATCCTGGAATTCTGTTCATGCTACATCCTGCTACATTCTCTTAGGCAATGCTCACATGGCACAATGATGCTGCCAACCTCTCCACATCAGTTGATTCCCCTTTGTGTGCTGGCAGCACATAACATGAGATAGCTGGGAGTCTCATATGATGACCATTTTTTAATCCTCCGAACCCCAGCAATGGATGATTGGAGGCTATCTCTTCCTTTCCCACTTTTTGCTCTTGTTTAATTCCCTCAAAATATGATGATTAATATAATGTAAAATATAATAATGTAATATAGTAATAGCAGTGACACAATTAGGGTGAGTGCCATTGTGGAAAAACTGGAGTCCCTCCAGTTGCCTTCTGCCCCTTTTTCACACATAGACCAAGTGTGGCCACAGGAGAGGTGAAGGTTAGGATGGGAGTTTGTAGAGAGGCTTTGTTATCATGAGGTCTCTCTAGGACATCATCTCGCTTTAATAAGTTATTGCCAGGAGGTGAGGGGAGGCAATTGCCTGGGGATAGTTAAGACAGTTTTTCCCTCTCTCAAAAGACCAACATAAATGTGTCATGCAAACATGCAGTGTATGCTTCTCTGAGCAGAATGAGATGGTGCAGCAGTTGGATGTATTTTCCTCCTAGGAAAGTACGCTCTACTGGGAAATTCCCATTCTCTGAAATAAGACTATCCATACTGTTTATCAACATGCCACTGCTTCAAGGCATATATTGAAAAATAACTATGGATCTGTACAGCAAAGTGAACCAGACTATGCATAACAAGAATTACACAGTTTGCTCTTGAGTACAGGATTTCTCTTTTACAAATAGAATTTATTTTGAATACAAGGATAGAGTATAAAACATTGGTGTGGGGTAGGTGTGAGGGCTATAGAGTTTGTTTTTTTACCTTACCGTGTTCTTGAACCAGATTGTGGCTTCCAATGTCATTGGAAGCTTTTGTCTTTGTGACAGTAGTGAGATTGAATTCCAGGAGGCCTGTGATCTCTAAGTGGAAAACATTGATCAGGCTGCCAGTTCTGTCTTCAGAACTTGACATATGCTCTAGGCTCAATGAAGAAGAATGTATAAATTCATAACCAGCACTTTCAGTTATGACCGGAAATAGACTGAGACCTTGGCTAGTGGTTTTAGAATGGAGTCATATGTTCCCTATAACCAACTAAGTCTGGCCATAGACCATTTAAAACTTTCCATCATCTTCAAGGGCTGCATTTGAATTTCCAGAGACATCTGACTGGTTGCTTTGAAAAAGAAATGCAGGGGAAAATTGTTTGATCCTGCAAGCCAGCTTGCAGTCCAAGGCTTTCGAGCTAGAAGAGCAAATAGAAAAGAAACAATTGTTGGCACAATCTTCCAAAGTTGCCTTTGCTCAGGACAGCCAGACATGATGAGAGTGAAAGGAGGGCACCAGACTGGTGTAGTATTTTTGAAGGTGCTATTCCTTGTCTTCCTGCATTTCCCACCAAATCAAAGTAGTCATTTATGTTGGTGTCTTTGCCCTCCCCCTCCCTCTCCCTCTCCCTCTCCCTCCCCCTCTCCCTCCCTCTAAAAAATCTTGCAGTTTTTTTATTCAAAAATATTTTGGGAGATTTATTCATTGTCCTTGATGAGTTGTTTGATTACAGGTAGTCCCCAAGTTAAGAAGCCTGGTTTACAGACAACCCATAGTTAAGAATGGACCCTATTATAGCAAAATTATAGCAAAAGTTAAGTACACAATGATTTGAGTTAAATACACAATGAATTGAGATCATTGCACAATACTACTTATACAGTATTATACAATAATGCTGCTCTGGGTTACATACAAATTCGACTTAAGGACATACCTTGGGAATGGAACTCATTCTTAAACTGGGAACTACCTCCACTTGTCTAAATAAAAATAAATTTGAAAAGTGATTAGGCAATAATGGGTAAGTTGAGGGAGATGGACAGTTTTAAACTGAATTTTGAAATCAGTTAGAAGCACATCAGGAGATCTTATATGTAGCTGTTGTGGGAAGTTCAAGTTGTTTGTCTTAATCTCTTTGAATGAATAAATGAATGGGAACCAAATGCAGTTAAAAAAATAAGAAATTGTGATCTCAACACAGTAAAACAAGGAAATTGGATTTTTGTAATGTGTTCCAACTTATATACTAAATGTGGGTTGGGGTTTTTTCCTACTACATCTCTTTTTCTGCTACATTCCTGAATATATATTACAGAAAAGAACAGTAAAGTTTGCTCAATATTAGGGGACTATCTAAAGGAAAGTGTAATTTCTCTTTCAAGCTGATGGGGTTCTCAGCCTTTCAGATCTTAGGTCCCACCCATTAGTTTATCAAACAACCTGAATCGCATCATGACAGATATTAAAAAACTATCTCTGAAGTTTAACAGGTTATAATTATACTAAGTATGCAAGTCATACTTCTCCTTTATGGCAGGTTTTAATGATTTCCCCTGTGTCCCCCCTAGAATATTTCTGATTTCTAACTGTGTTAACTATGTACCACCAAATTAAGAAGCAATGATATACAAATACCAGGGAGGCTTGTGATGCCTTAAACTGATTATGGATAGAGCCCACCTCAACTGATTTTATGAAGTATTTCAACTCTGTTCCACATGATGTTAGGCTTCAAAGATATTCAAGATTGGCTGTTGTCTGCAGCAAAACCATGGCTATCCTTTCTGGAAATTATGGATCATAGTTTTATTCTACCAATATGAAGCATTATTTGTTGTTAAAACTCTTGATTTAGAAAAGGAACTCCAATTTTCATGTACAGTCTTGTATAATCTGCAAAAATGCTAAGTAAAGAAAATTATTTGCAGTATATTTACCTCTTCTGGTATTTATTATTACTGAAAAACTCTTTTCTTTCCTTTTCTTCCTTTTGATCCATACCAGTGTCCTTCACTTGGCAATTATTCACCTTCACACGGAACTGGTAAAGAACCTTTTAGAAGTAATAACAGATATGAATGCTGCTGATGTTCTCAATGTCAGAAATGATCTTTATCAGGTATGGAAACATTGGGAGGAAGGCAGTATAAAAACCAGGTCATTTTTTATGTTACTGAAAAAAATCAGCCAATTAGAGTGTGGAAAATTAAAATGTGAGTCTACATCAGAGGATACAGTGAAATTGACAAGATGACACCATGCAACACAAACTCATGTGACCCATTGAATATTACCTTTCTACTTTTCATAAGCTACAGGTTTTCCTAAGCATCCATCATATTAACCAGGTGAATTACATGTTTTCAGTCTGTACTTTATGTTGCACAGAGTTGTAAACAAGTGTATTTGTGTGAAGTGAGCCAGTTTGGTGCAGTGGTTAAAGGCACCAGGTTAGGAACTGGGGAATTGTAAATTCTAGTCTGCCTTAGGCACAAAGCTAGCTTAGTGACTTTAGGCCAGTCACTCTCACCCCTAGGAAAATGGCAAATTACTTCTGAAAATGTTGCAAATAAAACTGCAGGGACATGTCCAGGCAGTTGGCAGGAATCAAGAATGACTCAAATGCATGCACACAAAGACACACCCAAAAAAAAATGTGTGAAAAAAAAATTCTGATTGCCTTTTTATTTCTCCCTCTTCCTTCCCCATACACACCTTTTTAAACAGACTCCTTTACACTTGGCTGTTATAACAAGGCAGGCAGGAGTTATGAAAGACCTACTCAGGGCTGGGGCCGATGTGAACCTCTTGGATCGCCATGGGAATTCTGTCTTCCATTTGGCAGCTCAGCAAGGGGATGAGATGGTGTTAAGTATGTTGCTTAACCACAAAGAGGCATCTATGATGAGAGACCTTCCTAATGGGGACGGTAAGCAAATATCCGGAATTCTACTGAATATCTTTCTACTTGATTAAAACATAATAGTGCTGCCATATTATTTTCTCAAAAGCTATTCATTATTTCATTAAAACTTAGATTTCCAAGCAATCCCAGTATTTTAATGCCTAGATTCTGAAACAGAATAATTATCACCATCATCACCATCAACTGTACAGTCATCCTTAACTATACAATCAAGATACACGATGCTTTAGAGAAGACTGAACATAATCTACTGTACAATAAGAAGACAGTAACAAGGGTGTCATGTCAATTTGCCATCTCTTCCCTTGTCTGTCCCTGCTACTTTTTAATATTTCCTTGATGGAAACCTTCCGAAAGATGTCTTTTCCATTTCCACTGTTTCTATCCTACCGTGTTGCCCATCTGAAATTTGCCATTTTCAGGAGGTTCATTTTGGAACAATTCTGTCTTAGCTGTTCAGGAATATATCCTGAAATATGTCAGCCCTCTTTTTATAGAGCCCCTGTTTTGTTCTCAAGTAACTTCACGGTTCTGGAAAATGGAAACATGGTGACCATTTTTTAAAAATTGGAATTGCAGGAAAATTTGTCTTGAGAAAAAGGGCAATTCTCCATGTATGTAGGGTTTTTTTCTGATACAAGTACAATTTGCCTGATAGTGTATTATTATTATTATTATTATTATTATTATTATTATTATTATTATTATTATTATTCAGGCCTGACAATCCTTCATCTAGCTGTGATGGCAAACAGTATGCCATGCCTCAGACAAATCCTTGCTGCTGGTGCTGATGTCAATGTCCAGGAACAGAAATCTGGGAGGACAGCCTTGCACCTGGCTGTTGAACAAGGAAATATCTCCATGGCAGGTTGCCTTCTACTTGAGGTGAGCATTATGGGGGCAAATCCTCTCTCTCTCTCCTTCTTTGAAAGGAGCAGCTGTTCTTCTCTGTGTAATCCTCCCACCTTTGTGAAATTTGGTAGTTAGCAGGTTGTTCATCACGCCTTGCAGTAATGCTACATAGATACATGCTCCTTCAAACCCAAGCAATCGTTGCTTTTGTTCTTAACTAATAGAAGAACAAGGGGTATCCTCCTCTTTTTACCAAGTGATTATTTTGGAATTCCTGTCTGATATAAGTACAGTGTTTCCACTATCTGGCTCCAGGATTTCTGATGATTTGTGAGAATATCTCTCCTTCTCCTTTTTAGTTATGTTTTTAACTGTTTTATGTATTTATATATATATTTATGTTTTAATGTTTGTTGTGAGTCGCCCAGAGTTCCCCCACTGGGGGGAGATGGGCGGCTGAAAAATTAAATAAATAAATAAATA